ACTGCATGCAGGATTCCTGGTGGAGTCTCACAAGAGCAGAGTAGAAGGAGAGAATCATCTTTGGCCTGCTGGTCACGCTGCTATTGATGCAGCCCAGGATTTGGCTTTCTGGCCTGCGAGTAGATACTGCCATCTCATGGTGAGTTTCTCATCTACCATCATCACCCAGTGTTTCTGGGTAGTTTAGCATCCTAAAGAAGCAGATGTAGGTGTTCCTTGGATTGCCATGACCCAAATGTAGGATCTCGCACTGCAGTTTTTTGAACTTCATGAGGTTTACGTTGGCCCATCTCTCAAGATTGTCAAGGTCCCTCTGGATGGCACATCCCTTCCCTCCAGCGTGCCGACTGCCCCACACAGCTTGGAGTCATCAGTGCTGAGGGTCCCCTCAATCCCACTGCCCATGTTGCCAACAAAGATGTTGAACAGTATCAGCCACAGCACTGACCCCTGAGGGGCACCATTCATCATTGCCCCCCACATGGACAATGAGCCACAGACCATAACTCTCTGCATACGACCATCCAGCCAGTTCTTTATCTACTGAGTGGTCCACCCATCAAATCCATGTCTCTCCAATTTAGAGACAAGGATGTCATGCGGGACAGTGTCAAATGCCTTGCATAAGTCCAGGTAGATGATATCAGTTGCTCTGACCCTATCCGCCAATTCTGTGGCCCCATCATAGAAAGCCACCAAATTCGTCAGGCATGACTTGCCTGTAAAGCCATGTTGGTTATTACCAATCACCTCTTTGCTTTCATGTGGCAGCCTTTGGGAAGTGTTGACATCAGTTAAGCTTAGCCTCAGAAGCAGCATGCAATGTGTGATCACTGTACAGGAATAATCACTTATGCTTGACTTCATAGTCACAAAAAATACTGCTCAAGTGCATTTTGACTGTGATGGACATTCTGCAGCTGCACATTGCAGTAATGAATTTGAGCTTGGTACATGGTGTTGCCATCTGTCCCTTGCAAATCGTATCACTATTGTCTTGAGGAGATTCATTCCCAACCTTCAGTTATGATTTTGGTACCATATCCTGATTTACTTTTTAATGTTTAAAAAGAAGGTATTGAGCAGACTTCTTAGTGTTTCTATACTTCCAGGTCACAGAATGCCAACAGCAAGTTCGAGGAAAAAATGGAGGAAAGGGTTGTTTTTGT